GCTGAATTAAGAAAATGAATGAAATCGAACAAAATTCAGTTCAATATAATTGTTCCATGGCTGAAATAATAATACATAGTGATACTAGTTAATACTCAATAAAGAAATGCAGCTTAATCTTTTAGTACTAATTGATTAATGCATAGAAGGAATAGGAGTTGTTTCCTTAAGCCAAAGTTGATCAAATATATTCATTTCTTTACTCATGTCTTCTAGATTTAGCAAGGACTCTTTATTATCCCATACCGGAGTTTCTCTTCTAGCTTTGATTAAATAAACTATTACAGTCTTTAACTTTTACGTCTGCCACTATGTTGTTGATAAACCAATTTCTTTAGATTGGATTAAGTTTGCCATTGTGTGATTATTTGAGCAGGTTTTGCACATGGACAAAAATGACTACTATGGAGGAGAGTCCAGCTCGCTCAATTTGATTCAGGTAAATTTGATTTTGAGAATCTAAATATGCATTCATTCAAATATTAGATGCTCTTTCAGCCTCCTAACTTGGAATTTTATGAACATGTAATGGCGAAGTTAAAAACAAAAAATTGGAATACTCCACAAGAGATGCTTATTTTCTGTTTTCAGCTGCCCCTGTTTGTATCACAACTTAGTCTTGTTTCTTATAGCTCTGGAAGCGCTTCAGGGGAGATGAACAGCCCCCAGAGAATTTAGGTGCTAGCAGAGATTACAACGTTGATATGATTCCCAAGGTAGATGTACATTATTCTTCAATTTTTTTTTTTTTTTTATAAAATATGTATTTAGCCACCCTTTTTTCTCATGTCAATGGTGTAAATCCAGCTTGTTATATTTAAATCAATCATTAGTATTGGTAATGTTGAGTGTCGATTTAAAAGCGTATCATTGTTTCCCAGTGCATAGCCATCTTTCTTTGTTGTTTTTATTTTCTCTATGTTGTGTAACATTTTTCTATGCATTTTGTTAGTTCATGATGGCAAATGGAACTTTGGTACGTGTACTTATCCATGCTAATGTTACCAAGTATCTGAACTTCAAGGCTGTAGATGGTAGTTTCGTATACAATAAAGGGAAGGTATACTACTTGAAACAGTTTTAGCATCTGTCTGTCTTTGGGATACGCTTGAAACACATTTGTATAATTCTCATACTTGCAAAATTTGAGTTGTAGATCTACAAGGTTCCTGCAAGTGATGTTGAAGCACTTAAATCCCCATTGATGGGGCTATTTGAAAAGCGTCGTGCTCGAAAGTTCTTTATTTTTGTCCAAGACTTTGAAGAGAGTGACCCCAAAACTCACGAAGGGATGGATTTGAACAAAACCACAGGAAAAGAACTTATTGCGTAAGTATTTCATCCCTAATTATTGTTAAATTCTTTGAATTTTCTACTTTTCATAAGTTTTTTTTGACATCAAATATTTATATTGCTAATTGATTTTTTTTTTCCTTCCTCCTGTTTTCTTCAGCATCATCTCAATTAGTTTGTTAATGAATCTATTTTTTGATTATTTTGAGCATCTGAGGCAAAGTTGTTTCAATAACCTTAATGATGCATCAGAAAAAGCTCAAATGAGAAAACATTTTTGTTTCCTGTATAATGAAATTCGAGTAATATTTAATAGATACCATGGGGTTAAGATAAACAAATTTGGAGAATGTTACTGGTGGTCTTATGGCGTGGTGCTGGAATATTTTGGAGAAATTAGAGATGCAATACATGAGAAGGCTTTCTCAATCTGTTCAATTCATATACTATACTCTTTTGTTGTTCCCTTTTTCATGTCCTTGTTCTACGTGATGTTTGGGTGTTCAAAAAACATAGGAGATTAGTATTGACTGCTTTAGAAAGGTTGAAATTGTATGATTATAAAGCACTAATGTTCAGCTTAAGGTACAAAACAGCGGCGCTCACTGGAAGTTGATTATAAAAGCAAAAAAGCAAAGTTGTGTAATGAACTTTAATTTCTCAGGAGACATATACAAAGCATACATGCTTATTGTCATGTCCCAAAAGAAAAGATAGAAGGAAAAAAAAATCTTTCGAGTTTGTAGTAATTTATTTGTGAATGGCTACTATTTTATGAGAATTATTGATTGTTCTAATCTCATTAATGCAGAAAATATGAACTTGAAGATGACACAATTGATTTTATTGGCCATGCCTTGGCACTTCATAATAATGATAGTTACTTGGACCAGCCAGCTTTGGATTTTGTGAAGAGAATGAAGGTGGAAATTTTGTTTTACTGTAGTTTGGATTATTTGAATGTCAGCATTGATCTCCTTAGTAGCACCAGCATTGTGCCTAGTTCTTCTTGACCTATGGTTTAACAATTTCACGTTGATGATCTTAATATAAGATATATTACCTGTATGTTATAGACATTGGTTAATCCATGAAAAGAAATGGATTTTCTGATTTGGGAGATACGCCAAGTACATAGCCGGTAGAAAATAATCAGTTGTAACATTTTTTGGGTGTTCTTTAATTAGTATTGGCTCATGTATACTCTTATTTCCAAATACATTATTAACTATTTGCTACCAACTTCTTTAACAAAATTTTCATGTCTTTTCTTGGTGAAAGATACATATCTTCCTTTAGGTAGTTGGAGATAATTTATTAATAGTAATGTATGATCCTGCATTTACGTCTTTTTCTGAAAAGGGTATTTTTATTCATTGACACCAGCCATAATCACCATTGAACTACAACTAACAGCCATTGGTCCACCCAGTGTTGCGCCGATGAATGAGATTTTTTTATTACTTTCCTGTGCAAGCTTGTATATTTCAAAGAGATTATTAGTAACCATCCTTGTTTTCTTTCTAAAAGCTATATGCAGAGTCTTTGGCACGCTTTCAATCAGGCTCACCTTACATATATCCATTGTATGGACTAGGAGAATTGCCTCAGGTTTGTCTCTGCTTGTAATTTTTTTTTCTTATTTATTTTTCTGCTTGTTGATATCTATCCCAACTTAATTTTGTTGCATTGATCTGATTGTCCAGTTCGTGTCCAACTTTGCAGGCATTTGCACGTCTGAGTGCAGTTTATGGTGGGACTTACATGCTAAACAAGCCACAATGTAAGGTAATTTTTCATTTCTCCACAAAGGATAATTTTGGCCCTACTTCTCCCAGTGACTTAATTCCAGATGTCATCCTTTTCATAAAGGAATAAGGAAATGGAAGAAACAATATTATAGTAACTTGGTTTCTCCTATAATTAAAGCAAGCATATAATGTAAGTTTCGTAGGAATTTGAAACTCCACCCTCTGTGCAAATCTTAAATTATCCATTCCAATGACAAATTGGCTTGAGAAAGTGTTGCTTATGTTGGGACCTTGTATAAGTGAAATATTTTGATTGCAGGTAGAGTTTGATGGGGATGGAAAAGCTACTGGTGTGACATCTGAAGGAGAAACTGCTAAATGCGTAAAAGTTGTTTCTGATCCGTCCTATTTACCCGATAAGGTAACTTCCAGTGAGTTGGGACGTAGTATATTTATTACCCCCTGCTTAATTGATATATGCATTGAAATTCAATCATTTTAGCTGGCAGTCTGTCAAATAGTATTATGAATATACATTTCTGTTGCACGTCATGGGTTCTCTTCAGAACCTTTTTAAAGTAAATACTTGTCACAGGTCCAGAAGGTTGGAAAGGTTGCTCGTGCCATATGCATAATGAGCCACCCAATCCCAGACACTAAAGATTCTCATTCGGTCCAAGTCATTCTACCACAGAAGCAACTTGGTCGTAAATCAGATATGTATGTTTACCAAGTTTCCTGTTGATAATTTTTATGACAACAGGTTACAGAGAACTTCATAGGAGTTCAAAACATTATAATCTCAAATGGGAAACAAAAGTTCGGTACACGAAGTCATAGTTCTAGATAACCTTAAAGACATATTTGTTTATTTACAACAGGTATCTGTTCTGCTGTTCTTACGCACACAATGTGGCGCCCAAAGGAAAATATATTGCCTTTGTTTCAGCCGAAGCTGAGACAGACAACCCCGAAGTTGAACTGAAGCCAGGAGTAGACCTTCTTGGACCAGTAGACGAGATCTTTTATGAAACTTACGACAGATTGGTACCCTGTAATAACAGTGATGCTGACAATTGTTTCATTTCCACAGTAAGTATATAAGCTTCTGTCCAATATAATGTATGCATCTTCCCTAGTGAGAATTAGATGCTCTTCATTTGTGCTACTCAGACATGATAAAAGTAGTAATTGTTGGACTTTGTGGAGCCTAATTATTGTTCACTTATCTCCTCAACTGTGGATTGACCTTTTATTGTAAGGGTATATTGTGGGTTCATAGTATTAGGTTGCCTAGCTTCCTAAGGCATATAGAGGAATCTGAGGGGGGCTTTTTTGTAAGATAAGGTAGATGGACGTGAGGAAGAGAAACTTGTAATCTCCACTTTCACTATACCTTCCACATTGTTTTTCACCGATCACTTGCTGCATTTTATCATTTGTTGCAGAGTTATGATGCAACCACACACTTCGAGTCCACTGTAACAGATGTTCTAGCCATGTACACCAAGATAACTGGAAAGGTAACTGATGGATATACATAGTGAAAATTGCACGAAGAAAGTGTGTATAATTTTCAGAAATTTGATAGTTACTTTTTATATATTTATTCTCTCTCTTTCTTGGTTCAGGTTCTTGATTTGTCAGTAGACCTGAGTGCTGCAAGTGCCGCTGCTGAAGAATAAGCTTCATTTTCTCCTCATTCTTCGAACAATTCGCCTAGTCTATATCAGACATTCAAAATGGTTCTGATGCTTTCAGGCAAATCACTATACGCTTTGCATTAAGTTCCATCAAGAAAATTTTGCTGGAAAGAGTTTTTTGGACTGTATGTTTGTTAGATCTTGCAATATGACCATCGTTTTTCATAGGTTTTAAAGAGCTGTGTTTATTGCATCTCTAATTCATGCAATATAACTTGCGATAATCTGAAAACACATTGAATGTTTCATCACTCTTTTCAACTTACCTTTGTTTGCAATATTCCTTCTCTCTTGGTTAGGAATTACTTTTGTTAGAAATTACTTCCGGGTTAGTTTTAGCAGATATAACAAGCGTCTAGTAAGTTTGCAAAAAGCAAAAGTAAAAACTCATGAAAGGGTATCATTGATAAACAAGGAGTAGATATAAACAAGACGTAGCAACATCCATTTAATCATAATGAATTAAACCTAGTTTCAAACAATGCAGCATTATTAGCAGGCATGACTATTTAACTAACTTGCACAACTACTTTTTTCTATTTTTCAAATTTTTTTGTTTGGATTTCTAAGTGTATTTGATTATTTATTTATTTATTTATTTCGGTTGAAATTTGGAACAATTTTAAATGACACTAATACTTAGCCGCCTAAGTAGACTTGAAAACATAAAGATGCACAAACACATATGATTGACATGTCACACCCTCAAACTTAAAATAACATTATCCAAATGTTATTAATCAAGAATAAGGAAAGAGAACTTCATGGGGTGACGAGTAGGGGCGGAGCTAGCACTTGGTAAGCCATGGCGGTTGTCCTTGTTGACTTCACCAAGAATTTTTTTTCCATATATTGGGTGGTTGCTTGATGGCCGCTCGAGCAACCATTGAGCAGCCATGCAAGCTCGTCTAGATACACCTTAGTTCACTCGAATTTCTGAATCCACAATTGGTTATGAAGATGGCATATGGCTTAGTCTGTAAAAGTGACGGCCTTATTCTTTGATGGTGCCTACAAGGGAGTTTTTCCTTACTCTCCAAATCTTTTACTATACCTCATTCCCAAAATTTTGCTCCATCATATCTCTACCTATTTTAACCTTTTGTTTGAGCTCTTCCTTTCAACTTTTCATCTCTGGTTTACTATCGTTTTGCTCGATTTCATCACTTTCATCAACTCTAAAACACTTTTCTTGACTTAGTGGCTTGAGTGAATTATAGACACCGAATATGGCTCTGCCATCCTGCATCTTCAAGATTAGCTCACATTTCTCCACATTAATTAGAATTTGAGTTATCGCAAGAAAAATGTTAACGCAAAATCACAAGCATATCATGGTCTTCCTCAACGTCAAGAACGATGAAATTCATAGGACTTACTTCTCGAGGGTGCTTGATTGATGGATCAGCTAATTTTAGAGATACCATGGTTGGCTTCACGCCTTCACCTTTCCAAAACAGGATTGCACCCTGGTGGTGGTGGTTTTACGATCCAGTTTGTCAATTTTTTATTCAGTCATTTCTTTATTTTTTATTTTCTTGATGTATTTATATATATATATATATATATATATATATATATATATATATATATATTCCCTACTATATAAAAAGGAGAATGTCATGTTACTGTAGAAATTAACAGTGAATTAATACATTTTTTTTCACTGTAGCCTTTTTTTTTTTTTTAAGTGGGGGAGCAAAAAACCGTCGTTTGCCTTACTTGTTATATATTTTATTATACAGTAAGAAAAGATAATCTAAATTTATTGCAACACACAACTTTTCATACCTCCCACCAAGTCTCATATCTTCACTCCATGCTCAATCACTCTTATATAGATATATATAGCAGGGATATAAGAAAAAAATATCACTTTTATGTAAAAAAAAAATTAAAAAATAAAGATATTTACTAATAATATAAGACATAAAATATTTTACAAAAAATTACTTGTGAGTAAAAATTTGAAGAGAAAGAATTTTGAATTGAAAAAAAAAAATTTATTTATAACATAAAGCTACACAACAAAAAAATAAAAATAAAAAAATCTCAAATCTCTTCGTGCATGGAAACAAATTGTCTTTGTCTCCATGCATGGAGATATATATATTTTTATTTTTTACATTATAAAAATATTTTTTTTTTCAGTTTAAAATTCCTTTTAACCCTTTTCTCTTCATAATAAAACTTAATTTTTCAATTTTAACTAAATAATATTTATATATTCTTTATTTAATTTTTGTAACTTTCTTTTATTTTGTTTTTATTATATTTTTTTTGAAAATTGTTTTAAAATTTCTTTGTTCTTTATATTATAAATATTTTTTTATTTAAAATTCTTCTTAATTCTTTGTGTTTAAAACACATTTTTTTTTTTTGCATTTAACCATAATTTTACTCTTACTCTGCGTTGCTACGATACTGATTTCTCTCGGCCTTTAACCTTAATTTCAATCTCCCTCTCTCGATTGTTCCGAAAATACTCAAAAACTTCATGCAAAATTGAGACGATCACCTTTATACCCAATCTTTAAACCTTCAATTTCTTCTGCTGTATATTTTACTACTAAATCTTGATTTTTACTTTTTTGTGAGATTTAACAAATCGCTTTCAAAATACCGTGAAATCTCAGAAGAAATTGGAGTTTAGGTATGTTCCTTTGTATTTTTTGTCGTGAATCTTCCAGCTTTTTCTTTCTTTTTTTCGAGAATTTAACAAATTGTTACCAAAATTTTTCCAAAAGTTGTGCTCTGGGAACCTTAAGTTTGTTCATTTATAATTTTTTATTTTATTTTATTTTTATTCTTTTTGTTTCATTATGTTCGTGTCCACTCTGAAATTTTCATTCTTTCCTTTTGACTTTGTTTGAACTTTTGTGAAAGTTGTAGACAGAAAAAAACCGATTAATGTACAAATTGAAGATTATCGACTTCAGTTATGTTGATTTCATTTTTGCTTTGTTTGATGGTGATTTTTCTTTTACAAATAATTCGCTTTTATTGTACATTATTCATAATTTTAGCTTCTGAATTTTTATTATGCTTGAATAATTGTACCTTATGTGATTATGTGTATAGTGTTTTATTGTAGTTAAGGAAATATTTGGTGTTGGCAGATTTGTAGTTGAACTAATAGTTAAGGTGTAGGTAGTTCAGATCTTTCATGTGATTGAAATGATTACTCATATTATAAGCATGTTTGAAAAGTTTGAGACGAGTTTCATTGCAACGAATTTTTGTACTATTGTAAAAATTTTGTAGCTCAAAGAGAGGTTTCTTATTTCAAATGTTAGGTGGTATATGACGTAACTCACTAAATATAAAATATTTTAACAAATTCACATTATTCAGTTATATATTCATGTGAAGGGAAGGACTATAAATGAAACAGTTATGGAAAAGGGTCATTGTTCAATAAGAATGGAAAGTGTTTATATTGGGAATAGAAGAAAGCTTGTAAAACCATTCAGTTGATAAAATTTTACTGTGAGTGACAACTAAAAAGAAACCCCATTGGGGACTGGGGCCCTAACCCTTTCTTGCAAGATTCGTTCCAAGAAACTAAGACTAGAACCATCCGGTGAGGTTTCTGTATATTTGCTTTCTCTTTACTTCTTGACACGTAAGCTCCTCATTTTTTTTGAATATTTAATACGCTGTCCGTGGTTCTGGTGCATGATTTTTGTTATCTTCTAGGGTGTGATAATAGGTGGGTTATGTGAAAATATTACAACTACAGTGCCAGTGGAGTGGCCTCCACTCTACTCTTTCTTCATCCTCTGCCTCTTATTACAGTTTATAGAGGTAAGGTTAGACCTCTTATTACAGTTTACAGAGGCCAAATTAGAATTTGTACATTTAGTAGCTATTGTAATTTTATGAGTTTATTAATTTACTTCTAATGTTTCCCAAAGCAATTTCGTTGTGCAATTAATTGACAATATTGTGTAACATGCAGTTTTATTAATATGTTCTACCGTTGGTTTCTTTTTAAATGATGGAGTAGCAAAGAGCTAGAATGTAAATATCAAAATGAATTAGGAAAACATCTAGACTAATTGTGTTGCAGAATAAGGAGAAATGAAAAAAGATTTAGATACTTAAGGAGAAACTAATAATTGTAATTAGGAGTTGGAGAAATAATAGTCAGAGATTACTTTATTTTTTAAAAGAGAAGGTTTTGAATTGTACTGCCAGTTTAGTAGGAGTATATATTAATTTATGAAAAATTAATATCTTTAACTGGACTGTTTTATGAAAAATGAATACTTGAATTGTAATTCATGGGCATTGACTCATATGATGTTCTTTATATCATTTTGTTTCAAATTATAGTATGAGTTGTTCCACTACTAGAAATAGACCTGTCACCCATCTAAAATGTAGTTTCATGGTTTTACCTGCCATAAATAATCTTTCAGGCATGCCCCCATTTGCCCCCATTTACAATTTTGCTCTTTACACCAACTAATTGTTAACCATCAATTTTGTTGTATATTCATTAACTAATTGTCGGGTTTAATAAAACATGTAACTTTAAGGTATTTATTTATCTCTCATTTGATATTTTGAGGTTCCCTATCAAGAAAGCTATAAACATGTTTGTCAATAACTGTTTAGATGTTGTAAGAAGCTGTATAAACATTTAGATGACACTGTTGGACTACTACTTGTTGGTTCTGATTATCAAAAGTAAGTAGTATGAACAGTATATTAAATATTTTTTAATGAAATGGTGTTCGTTGGGTTTGGGTGGGTGTTGGACTTTGGTAAGTGGGGTTTGGGTGGAGTGTTGGACTTTGGTAAGTGAAGATCTTATAGCTTCGTAAATAAGAGCTTTTGGTTCAAAAAATGTTGTATGTTGGATCAGAGCTTTGTTATGTGATCAAGAATAATTTTTTAGATGACACATGGTTTAAATAAATTACTCAAATAAAGAAATTGAATGAGCTCTTGAAACGGTGCAAAAAACTTTAAAGTTGATACAATATTGATATGGAGTTTGGTTTAAGGTTTCTCTACAAAAGAAATTTGGTGTGGTTAGGAAATATAATGAAGAGGTTTGAAAAAATGGATTTGCTTTTTAGATATGGTATACTAAACCCATGTTATACAGTTTGGTCTTTGATAGCTCAGATCAACTAAATTCATTGTATTGATAAGACCATTCACTATTTCTTGAATCTCGATCTCTCCCTCGGATGAAAACCTTCTTCTTTAGAGCGGAAACGGACGTGGCCAAAACATATAAAGATTAGCGTAGTCGCTCATAACCAAATCCCTGGATTCGTTACAGTCCCTTCAACCTCCAAATAGTGGGATCAAAACCCGTTGCCTTACCACTTGGCCACAAAAGAATTTCTTACAGATTATCGGAAGATTCATGAGAATGTGACCAACAAGATACTAGGAAATTATGGATTGGCGAATGTTGATTCCTTGTCAGTTTGGCAACTTATCTGGTGTGTGTGTGTGTGAAGTAAAATATTTTTGTCGAACAATAATGGCATGTTGGATGTTATTTTGGTGACCTTAAATATGTTTCTTTTGTTATAAAATGAGAGGAAAAGAGAATAGATGAGAGGAAAAGAGAATAGAGAAAACTCAATAAACTTTTTGTGTATATTATTGAAAACTAAAGCCCTATATTTATAGGTAAGAATCAGGGATACAATGGTAATAATTTCTAGGGTTACAGGGGTACAAATGTCATTCACCAATAAACTTTAATGGACTTTTCATTTACAACACTCCCCCTTGAATGATATATTACAAAATATCTGCCTCGTTAAAACCTTGTTTGATAAAAATCCAATGGGAAAAAAAATCAAACGAAGGAAAAAGAGTACAGTTATTTTGGAGTATTAAAATTAAATGCTGTCTCATTAAAATTGTGCTAGGAAAATCCAATGGGACAAAACCTAAGCGAAGGAAAAAAAGTACAGCTACTACCCCTGATGTTGATCACTGAAAATCTTTGAGTCGACGCATTTCAATCTCATGAACTAATTTCTTGAATGCAGATGTTGGGAGCGCTTTTGTGAATAGATCAGCCACATTGTCACTTGAGTGAATTTGTTGAATATTAATGTCACCATTCTTCTGAAATTCATGTGTATGAAAGAATTTTGGAGAAATATGTTTCGTCCTGTCGCCTTTGATATAGCCTCTCTTGAGTTGTGCGATACAAGTTGCATTATCTTCAAACAAAATTGTTGGACTATCTTTTGTTGAAGTCAATCCACATGATGATTGGATATGATGGGTCATATTCCTCAACCATACACATTCTCGCCTTGCTTCATGGATTGCAATAATCTTAGAATGATTTGAGGATGTTGCTGTCAAGGATTGCTTCATAGATCTCCATGATATAGCTGTTCCTCCACGTGTAAATACATATCATGTTTGTGATTTAGCTATATGTGGATCGGAGAGATAACCTGCATCTGCATATCCCACTAAAGCAGATCCTTACTTTTGAAAATAAAACAGTCTCATATCAATAGTACCTTTTAGGTAACGAAAAATATGTTTAACACCATTCCAATGCCTTTGAATTGGTGTAGAGCTATATCTTGCAAGGAGATTTACAGAAAAAGCTATGTCAGGTCGAGTGCAATTTGCAAGATAAGTTAATACTCCAATTGCACTAAGGTATGGTACTTCAGGACCAAGAATCTTTTCTCCATCTTCAAATGGACGAAATGGATCTTTTTTCACATCAAGTGATCGAACAACCATA